CACTTGGCAGCGCGGGACCCTCCCGGCCGCGTCACGCAGGAGTTCGACCACCTCGTCACGAACATAATACCATGGAGCTTCCAATAGGCCGCTCTGACCGAGTGCGCCAKCCATACCTCTCGCRAGCCGCTACGACAGGATAGGGCCAACGCGAGGCACGACTTACCTCCACCATTCGGGAGCTGTCACCTCCCTACGGTGGGCGTATCCCCGCCGAGCTACCAGTCCACAATACGAAAGCTACTCGGTTGCAATCGCAGAGGTGGACCAGCCGAKGGCGTTTCTCGTTTGCTGTAGCATAGGGGGTAAGCGCGGTATTAYGCCTTTATCGAACCCACACGCGAATCGTCCTCTTGGGGTGGCTGAAATCCCAAGCGCGATCCGTCGGCGGTCGACTAGGATGCACTCTACGCACGCACGTACACCACATAACGACAAAACAACACAACTACACTTACATACATACCCACTCAGACGAGACGACACAAACAAACAACGCACGTGATCCTAGTCCCTCCAGTAGCCATCTCGTAACTTTTCCGGCGCAGAAATCGGATAAGCGCCAAGCGTGAGACTTCCTATAAAACCGCGCGGACGTAGGGCCTTCTCATATCGACTGGCGCTACTTGAAATATGCAAACAGTCGCAGTAATGGCCTCACGATATTGAATGGCTGAAAAAAAATTATATTGTGGGGGTTTGCCCCTCACAATATTGGACGACTGAAGGACATGCCGTCCGGCCTTCGTCACTACTATGTCTTGGACAGAGCGTCACGACAGGCAGTTGACCAAGGCTCCACTTGAAAGGAAATCCCCCCGCATCTCGTGGAGCCGGAACCCGCCTTGCCTGAACAAGGACCTCGAACCAGGGTTCAGGACTAACGTCTGACTAAAAATTTCAAAAAGCATAAATAATAATGGGGCTCCCGGCCCTTAGTCGCGACCCCATCTACCCTCTACGTGCGGGCCCAGGTGACCGTACCTACATTTGGCACATACACATAGGGGGTCATAGGCAATACATAGAGGCTTATATTGTGCGCAGATCACTTCTCACGTTCACAGTAAGACTCCCTCCAATCATATACGTGTAAATCGCAGGCAGCCAAATACAAAATCTGAAGCACACGATGTACCTGCATTCACATCCAAATTCACCAGAGAGAAAGTCCACACGCTACATGGGGTCAACTTCAGTCACTCCACTGTACTCACACCCTATGCTTTAGCCATGCAAGCCCCAACCTCCGTCCAACCTTCCGTAAATAAATACTCAGTACTTCTTTTAAATGACCATTTAATAAAAGTCCGGGCAAAACCTTAACAAAACAATGAAGACCACCGACCAAAGCCCTTTAGGTTGAGCAAGGGGAGTGAGATGGAGTTGAGTCGTAGACCGACGAATCGGCAAAGGACTTGTTATCAAAGATAACAGAATGAGATCCTCAAGGGACCAAGCTAAGCCTAATCCAAGTCTTGAATCAAACGCTCAAGAGGACCTGTACCACAAAACAGGCCAATATCCCAGGCTAATGCGTAAGCACGTGGAGGACAACCTCCACGTCACGTTCTCACCCTAACTCTCCGAATGTTTGGCCTAAACTTACCCCCATACACATACTTAGACAAGAGTAAGTTTTAGGCAGTATCTCCTCTATACAGGATGAATCACCTATGGTTGCCACCTGTCATCTTTATAATCTAACTCCTATAAAATTAGGAAAATTTCGGCAGCGCTTACCGTAGGAAAATTGTCTTCTCAGAATTTATACGAGCTCAAATACGAAATCTAGAAGTTTAGATTTTAACTCCCCAAGTCAGCTTTTGCCTAACTTCCTGAAGTAGCAAAATATTGTGCAGCATACCCTTTGAAAGGGTAAGCTCCCCAGATTTATACTAAGTCAGATATAGACTCAAGTAATGAACTTGAGCCTTGCTAAGACAAAATTTGACTAACTCCTTAGATTTGTGAAAAATTTCGGCTGCACTCGCTCTAAAAAAGTGCTTAGCCAAGATTTATACAAAACTAAATCAGAATCTAAAAATAAATCCGACTCCCAAAGTYAAGTTTTTGTCTAACTCTCTGTTTCAGTAAAACTTTGGGCAACACTTCCCCTATAAAAGCAGGCTTCCCAGATTTATACTAGATCAGAAATAAAACTTAGACAAAAACTAACTTTGAAAACTCAGATTTTGACTTCCTTCATGACTTTGCAGAAATTTCGGCAGCACTCCCTGTTGAAAAGTGCTTAGCCAAGACTTCTACAAGATTAAGTATAATAAATAAACCCAAAAAATGCGAGAAATTGACTAAGCAGAAAAGACTCAACTTAGAATATGCAGAAATCACAACTACCTCCTATAGCTCTAGCACGTGGCGAGCACTAAAACAACTACCTATCAAATCGAAACTCAAACTAAGCACAGGTGTCACTCAGCCACATGCAATACCAAACCACAAAGGTAAGTACTCTCGTCATCTCAAAGAATGAATTTTTGCAAACAATACTTCGTGAACTCTCAGTAAACTATCCCTTTAATCCAACTTACATAAGGCGTAGAGTTAGGCTATCCAAGCTTATGGAACATGCCTAACTCAGCCATAGTTATACACAAACAGAGGGCACAACTACTTCTCTCTTCTTTCAGGCATATGACCAAGCCATCCATCTTTGGACCCATGCTTAGTCGCCCTGAACTGTTTTAGGATATTCAAGTTACATATAATTTGCTTCCCTTAGATCTTTTAAGGTTGCATATAGCAGAAGAATCA